GCTTCCCCACGCGGGCCCCGGGCCCAGTCGGCGGCCCGGCCTGGTCGCCCCTCGCCCCGTGCCTCCCAGTGCCCGGTTATGCGCTGACGTAGTGCCCGTTTTCTCTGTAGGTGAACGTGGAGCTGAGGCTGGGGGGGCTGTACGTGTGGTGATCGAGGAGTCCGTGCTCTCTTAGGAAGCAAATTTACCTCCAGGAGCTGTTGAGCAATGTAAGTTTGACAGATTTCTTTATTTTTTTGTAGGATCCGAGGGAATATTTGAAATCCACCCTCTAACTTTGTCCTTTCATTACTAATTTCTCTCTAGGCCCTTCATCCACTCTTTATCTCTTGCTCTTCAGCTGCAAAAACGTTTTTTCTGTTCTTTGGCTTGTCACTTTTTAAATCTCTTTCAGTGCCTGTTCCAGCCGTGTTGTTTCTTGGCCTCATCCCATTCAGGCAGTTTTGACTGTGGTGTTTCTAAAGCTGATTTGAGGCAAAATATTTACCATATGCATCAAAATAGTGCATGATTATGTTAGGCTTCAGGCTGTACAATCTGCAACACTTGGACTTGGCAGTTGTAGGTTAACGGTTGGATGCAGTGATCTTAAAAGTCTTTTCCAACCTAAATGATTCTGTGATTCTATGTGTCCTTAAATGCTTATTCTTTTTTGCTCTACAGCTGTGGTCAGAAGCAGGGTCTGCTATAAATGTGAATGAAGGGAGAGGAGCATTGCAGACCCCACCTGAACATAAGTGCCACGCTGGCCATGGTACTGCTGTAGGTAGCACACAAGGAAAACTCTGATCTTCAGGAACCCCTTGAGCACATGTCCAGTGCAATATGCCTCTTAAGCACAGGTCACTGCTTAGTAATGCCTCTTTTAAAAGAAACTATATGCAGGGTGTCTTTCTAGGAGTGTAATTATGGTGACTGTCATGTAACACCTCCCCTCCTATTTAAATTTATCTTAAACATTAACCAAAATTTTGTTCTGGGATACCTACTTTGTATCGTTTAACTGTTTGTAATATTGACTTAATCCTGCATTGGAGCTAAGCGTAAGTAACTAATTTAAACCATATTATTTGTTTCAGCAGTTCTTAGTGCTGTATGCATTTTGGCATATTGCCCTATATTTCTGTGTTTAAAATGCTCTCTATGCAATTACAGTAGGATATAAACCATGTTTTGAGTTCAGTATGTCTTTTTATAAGAACTGATTATATGTCCTTTTTACTTAGTAGCCACAATGTCAAATAAGGAGGTGAAGGCAGCATTAAAGAGCGCTAGAGATGCAATACGAAATAAAGAATATAAGGAAGCCTTAAAACATTGCAAGGTAATTAATTTTTTACTTGGAAGTTAATGTTTCTTGCACATTTTCTTTGCTGTTTCCATACCCTTACAGCTGTATAGTAATGCAGAGCATAGAGTACCTTATTGACATAATAGTTGAGATTAATTTTCAGATTTAACGTCATTGATCGTTCATGTTAGTTGCCCATAGGTAAACCTTTATTCCCCTTCCGTTTTGCATTTGCTTATGTGTGCCACTAAGAATATTAAGTCTTAAATGATAGTGATAAAATCCATTTCTAATCCAGACCTCGACAGGAGTGCTTTAATTGCTGAGCTACAGATACAGTTACTGGCAGAACAGTTCAGATATGAAGCATTCTCTGCTTCAGGTTATTAAAGCTGAACAATCTTAGCCTTTTCCTAAAAATGAGTTAACTTCTAATATTACCATACTGAATAATTCACCAAACTGTAATGAAAAAATTCAACACGTGAATCTATAAGATGCATTTGATTCATCAGTTTCACTTGAAATCGTGTATTTCTAGGCAGTCTTGAAGCAAGAAAAAAACAACTACAATGCTTGGGTTTTTATTGGCCTGGCAGCTGCTGAGTTAGAGCAGCCTGATCAGGCCAAAGGAGCATATAAGAAGGCTATTGAACTTGAACCAAACCAGTTACTGGCATGGCAGGTACGTGAATGTTCAGATTCGCTTTTTCTTTCTCTGAAAAGTGTCACTATGGAGTTAAATATGGGAACAAAGCAGAGTTGAGACTTGCATCATGTTTTCTTGAGGCCCTTAGTTCTCCTGAAGGTTTGGAGTAGGTGAGGTTTGCATTATTTGCATGTCCAAAGTAAAGCCATGGGTGGGTGCATGTGTGTAACAGGGTGAACTTTAGTTCCAGTGTATTTAAGTTTGTATTTCTTGTGTAGACTAGATAGCAGTGAAACACGAAAGGGAGAACATGAATTGAAACGGGTACAGTAAATCTGTTCATGCTTAGGAATTTTCATGCCTGTAGCTCAAGAAACATTTGACAATGTTTCTTTCATAGGAGAGAAAATGTTTTATCTAGTAACTTATTTCTCCAGCTTCCAGCATCAAGTGGATTGTTACTGAATTTTGTTGTGGTTACTTAAAAACAACAGTATACATTTAAAACAGCGGTGTGCTGGGTGGTGTGTGCAGGACAGCCTGTAACAATACATAGTTAAAACATAACAGTTTTGTTATTTGGAGACTTGTGAAGCATAAGGTTGCATATTAGGTCTGTCTCTCAGATAGCAACAATCGGTATTTTTCTAAGCTAGTAGTTCTGAGTATTTTCAATACAAATAGCTCTTTAAAGTATCACTGTTGGTGCCTGGTTTCAAAGTATATTGAAACTTCCTCAGTTCTGCAATCAGATTCTGGCTTTCTGTTACTAGATGGTATGATACTTGGATATCATATGACTTAATGTGCTTTGTATATTGTCTGTTATACAGACAAGATTATGTAATATATACAGGTTTCAAATAGTTGTTGGTATTAGTTAAAAAAATGAGGAAAGCTTTTCATTTAAAATATGTAGTTTCATAAGGCTGTACAGAAGTAGCAACTTAGATTCTGCTCGGAGATTACTATATTAACACTTGACCGCACTGAAGGCAATGAAATAATTTTTGTAGGCAGTACTTACAGTGTTCTCATAACACGTAAGCCTTGACATCAAATCTTACTTATTTTTTATCTTATTTTAAAGGGTTTAGCAAATTTATATGAGAAATCCAACCAAACAGATGTCAAAGGAGACTTGGCAGATGTTTACCAAAAGCTTTTGGAACTCTATGAAAGGTAAAGAATATTGAATACTGTCATTCAGTCTATGATTTCTGGTTCAGTGAATGCCATTGCTGATACATAGGATAGTCTGCAAGTTTTTGGGTTTGTTGGTTTTTGTTTTTGTTTTTTTTTAAAGCCTTGTCGTATCAGTGGGTAAGCTCTTGTTACTAACATTTTTGTACCTGTATAAGGTTTCTCGATCCTGTCCCTTTTGATAGGGCAAAAACTCTTGGAATAATTGTACTTGAGGTTAGTAGTTCAGAGAATTGTAATGTTACCCTCTGTCCTCTGTCTAAACTCACTGCCTTGAAGCATTTAGTGGTGATAGTTCATTGTCTGCATTAATAAGTAGGCTTATTTTTCTCTGGTTTTGAGATCACAGAATATATGTCATCTGATTCATATAGGTACCGCTCTAAACAAATCTAACTCTTCAGCTGTCACTGTACCTGACTGGAGTGTTCGATTTGTTTCCTTAATTTGAAAATTGTTCAAAAAGAAAAGTACAATCCCTTAAAGTAACTTTTTTTAAACTCAGTTACAGTAGCAGTGAGGAAAACTTTTACGGCAATCTGTAGCATTTATTCCAAATATTTGTTTGGCAACTGAACCTACTAAGAAAATTATTTGTCAGAATTAGAAAAACGTTATACTACTTTATGGAAAACTTAGCTTGTTTGTGTGGGATTTTCTTCCTCCTTTCTAGTGGTGACAAGCAGAAATGGTGTGATGTGTGTAACAAGCTTGTGGAACTATATCATCAAGAAAAGAAATATTTAGAGGTGGGTTGACTGCTTTACTTTCTGTTTTCTGATCAAATGGGAATTTCTTCTTAGAACTAGCTACTTTTCATCAAGGAATCCCCAGTCCTTTGGGCCACAGACCACTTCAGGTCTCCTTGCGGACCACTACCAGAAAGAATTGGTTTTAACTATATTCCTTTCTTTTCCACTGCGTAAGACTTGAATGCAATCCATTAAACTGACAAACTTGACAAAGAATATTAGTATACAGGCTGAAAGGGTGCAACTTCCTTCTGCTTTATTTCTAGAAGTCAAGCATGATCACAAATGCACGTTTACACGCAGTATGTGAGAGTCAGGTGTCCTTTGCCTAGCTTGGCCAGTTCTAGGTGTCTGATCAGCCCTTCACTGGTGTGGTGATCATAGACTGTCCCTGATACTTCATGCCAGAGGGTAAGGTGGAATTTGTACACAACCCGAACACAATTGCCTGTGTTTTACAGACTGCATTCCATGCACAACAATAAGGACTTGCAAAGCTGCTCCAGGGCAACCCAGGCTTCAGCCCACATAGCCCTCTAACAGTCCCTGTCAGCATGACCATTGCAGAAATAGTCACGGCTCTTGTCAGCGTACCACAAGGTGGAGCTGTTAAATGCCTGAATGGTTCAACAGTAACATTGCCTATAGTCTCTGTAGTAATGTTACAGGATACATATTTTTGCAGTTATGCTGTTTACTCTGCCTTTACTTTAGAACCTTTAGAAAGGTTGCTTTCTTACAAAGTGGTGCATGGTCTTACTCCATGTCATCTTCTCCCTTTTCCTCCAACAATGGAAATTGAAAAGTTTTACAAATCACTTAGCATCATGCTCAAGACTGTTAATTAGCTCCAAAGCCACTTTGTATACCAGTTTCTGAAACTAAATCCAATGTTAATAGTTTAGCATATGAAGACAGGCTTGCTCTGTGTGCAACAGGAGATTGCAAGTTAGGCCTCAAGGTCCTATTTTCTCTTTTCCAGTTCTTTTGATTTTTTTCCACACTGGAATTTCAACATGTACTGCTGCTGTTCTTCTGTTTCTGTTCATAGTGCTGTAGGTGCAACAGGACTTCCATTTTTTTCTTCAGAGTTTATCGGAGGACCATTCAGGTCTATTTTTACTGTTGATTTCCTCCAGGAGCCAGAATCAGAATTCATACTCTTGATGTTGCCTCCCTTATTTACTGTACCTCGCAAGGTGGACAGGTCCCACACAATGGTTTGGGACTTGTTATTGCTTTAATCAGAAAGCAGGTAAATCTGGGTCATTACTTTAAGTGTTACTCTGTTGTCTACCCTAGTGTGGTAGAGTTGACAGTAATTGGAAAGCTTGTGTCAGACCTGCAGTTCTTTAAAGAGTGACAGCATGGTTCATTTGTTTCCTCGTGACAGGTGGCTGAAACATGGCAGAAACTAATACAAATGAAACAGGAGGAAGGTGCAGAAAAGGCAGAGGTGCATCAGCTTTGGAAGAAGATGATCCAGTTACTGAAAGACAGTACACAAAACCAGGATAACAAGACCAAGCAGTTGGTAATTTTTCTCACTCCTACTCATTTAGATAAATGTATGTGCACAGTGCAGCTGGACTTCAAATGAAGCCTTAAAAACTACACAAATCTTGTGACTCCTTGTCTCATTAATGTTTAGTAGTACTTAACTTCTCAGGAAAAGGTGGGTGATTTTACCTTCTGACAAAAACAGTGAGGATGCAGCAGCCTGAGAAGGGTCTTAGGTGGAATAAGGCACCTAAATCCAAGCAGTCGTCCTGGGACTCCTTCATTAACTGCGTCCTAAGTTCTGTAGGAGTCCATGTTTGCACTGTAGCACAGTGATGCATTGTTCTACCTCTGCATGTTAAAAGAAGCATCATTCATAAGCTTTGACAAGAGTCTAGAATGTAGGTGTTCTTCAAAATAAGAAACTCCCCCCTACTCTCCCCCCAGGATGAAACAGGTAGTTGTTTTTAGTTTTCTTTGTATGTAGTGCTTATCCTGGATAGCAATGTTTGAGTTCAAATTTTCCTTTCTCCTGTAGATTTTAATCTCTCACTTCTTAGGAGAATGTCAAAGCTAATTGGAGCAAACAGAATGATCATGAATTACACTGATCCTGTGTTCTCTATGGCCAAAGTCAATTTTGTTTTATCTGTTCTTGCAAGATGAACCTCATTCAATAGAAAGGGCAGAAATTTCTCATCACCAGTCTGGTTGATAGCAGTGCTCCAGAAAGGTGGAAAATACAAATTGAAATAATTTGAGACAGAAGAAAATTGAGTCTGAATCTCTACTTTTTGAGAAGGCAAATGCTGTAACTTATGAGCTATTACAGAAAAGAGGTGCTGCAGGCAGCACTGCTTTCGTTTTGGGGACAGGGAGTTTAAAAAAGAAAAAAGTTGCATAAATATCAGGAATGGGTTTCACATGCAAATCTACAGTTTACTCTACTGCGTTTCTGAGTAAAGTATCTGAACCTGGAAAGGTTTAGCATGCTTGTTTAGTAGCCTGCACTCTGTGGTGCCTGTGTTCTCACATATGTAAGGAGTCCAGAAATAAAAGACTATATTTCTGGACCAGAGCAGGGGGGAGGGCTGACAGCTAACTGTAGAGGATAGTAACATAGGTTTTGTGGTACCAAGTCCTTCTTTGAATTGGGATTAGGTATGAGGGAGGATATGTGTTCTTAGAAATTTTGCCTTCCTTGTACCCATTTTACATTATGAAACGGTACATAGCTGCTTCCTCTTGTACTGGACAATTAATGTGGTTTGGATCCTATTTGAGTACTACTTCACAGTAAGGAACTTGCTTTGTGCCTTTCTGTGTTCACAGTACTAGTGTAAACTTAATGAGTAGGATCCAGATAATAACATATAACTATCCACTTAGTTATGGAAGGGCTGGAAGGCATGTCCTATGAGGAGGGGCTAAGGACTTCGGGCTTGTCTGGTTTGGAGAAAAGGAGGCTGAGGGGTGACCTCATCGCCCTCTGCAGCTTCCTGAGGAGGGGAAGGGGAGAGGGAGGTGCTGAGCTCTTCTCCCTGGGATCCAGTGACAGGACACGTGGGAATCATTTGCAGCTGTGTCAGGGGAGGTTCAGACTTGACATTAGGAAGCATTTCTTTATCAAGAGGGTGGTCAGACACTGGAACAGCCTTCCTAGAGAGGGCATTGTGACAATGCCCTTCATAACATGTTGTAGCTTTTGGTCAGCCCTAAAGTGGTCAAGCAGTTGGACTAGGTAGTCGTTGTAGGTCCCTTCCAAATGAATTATTCTGTTCAATGAAGACAACGTTTTCCTAGAGCCATTGTTTGTTATACTCCTAATTATTTCTTATTTCAGCTTTTAACTGGATTTGAACATGCGGTGAACTCTGCTGATACTGTTCCTGGTGAAGACCACCAAAATCTTTACAAGGACTTTATTCAGTGCTTGTCAAAAGTAAGGTTATGTTAATCTATCTTCATCAGTGAATAGATGTAATATTCCACATCTGATAATTCACACAAATAACTATGTAATTTTTTTCTTTCAAGTTTCCTCATGAAACGGCTAGGTTGGAAAAGGCCTGTAATGATATGTTGGCTTTGTATCCTACTGTGAGTTATCCTTTAGAAGTACTTTGCTTGCACTTTATTCAATCAGGTGAGTGGGATGGGTTTGGACATTTTTGGTGCTTAAAATATGTCTTTTATAGTTAGTTTTGTGACAGTTTTTTTGCAAGTTTTTACCCTTCACAACCCAATACAAGTGCACTATTTACTTTTATATTTCTGCCTGTCTGAAACGAAAATCGTTTGGTCCTATGCTTTGCTATTTCCTAGCTCTGTAATTGAGTGTGGACTGTAAATTGGCAAAAAAATTCTGCGAGTTAAGTCCAACTCTGGCAATGTACAAAGTCACAAAGAAAGAATGCCTTACAAAACTCAAAAGCAGCCTCTCCAGATAAATGAAGGTTAGCTTCTTACGCTTAGAAGTGGGAACGGAGAATGTTAACCAGTGCTCTAAGGCTGAGGATGGGCTACACTTAGGTTATTCTTCACGTAGAAAATCTCTCTTGGCGAAAAAACCCAAACATTTGTGAAACTTTCTTCAAAAGAATGCCTGGTGAATAGGGCATAAACAGATCTGTTTAGATATTTGTTCTAAGTAGAAAAGGAGAATCTCTGAGGAAAGAAACCCAAACATGGTGTGTCAATAATGCAGAGATCTAAAAGTATGCAACTGCTATTTTCAATAGTTCACTACACAATATTGCAGTAGTGTTGGACACTTTCTCAGCATTTTCAAGGACAACTACTAAATTTTGATCTTTCATTTTATTGTTTAAGGCATCAGAAGTTGATTTTATTTCTTTTTAAAACAAGGAAAGAAAATCAGGAAGAAAACCCCTGTGGTTTATATAAAGAAAAATAAGTTTCAGCTTAGGTAGAAGAATGCCTTTTCCAGTTTTGAAGGTAGGCTTCATGGAATACTGTAGCAACATAGAACGAGAGAGAATTTTTCACTTTGATTTGAAAGGATAAAGACAAATGAGGCCCAGACTCATTTCCATATGAGGAGGATTTACAGTTGAGAGAAACATGTAGAAATTGATTTCCAAAGGACAAGGAGCATCTGTTTGGCACAGTTCTTACATGCCAGCGCTCTGACAACATCTCACCATCCCACAGACATCTTGGGGTGGGGAGGATGATGCTTAGGTTTTAGTAAGGCTGTTTGTTTATATCTGAATCATTCCAACCATGTCATAGTCCTTCATGCCCCAAACTTGTGGGCTTGTAACTCGGATGCGTTATTAGTCACCTTTACCAAATGCAAATCAAAGGCAATCTTTATGTCAAATGAGTCCATATGTTTTTAAAGAAAACAGTAGTTCAAAGATTGTTGCTGCAAGTCACAATAGTTGCTTTAAGCAAGGACTGCCAAGTCTACAATCACAGATAAACATAAGCATAAAAAGTTAGTGGCATCAGTTAAAATTAAGCTAAGACATTAAATTATGTGGTTTCACAGCAAGACTGTTTCAGCAAGCTCATCACAGCAAATTTGTAGGTACACACAGCCTACTCTGGAAGGACATAATTTTGATTTGCTTGAGGCAAATTTTGATATGCGGGCATTCAGCTGGCCTTACATGAAAAGCATATGAAGGAATTAGTTTTTATTAATAAAGGAAGTATACCTGTAGAAATTTAACATGAGTGGTTAAAAACTCAGGTTTCAAACTGGTAGTTTATTTTGTTTGGTGGTACTGGGTTATTTAGATTACTGCTTGGTTTTTTGCATTTGGTTTTCGGGGTGGAGGGTGATAAGTGTGTCGTGCCTTTGGAAAAAAGTTTAGTTAATACATTACTTTTAGCTCAAAGGATAAGGGTCATATTTATGTAGATAAGGTACGCTGTTGCCTTTTTTTTTTTAGTCTAAAACTGTAAAATATTTCTTTTTCTGAAACAAGGCACTTTGTCAGAAGAGGCCCTGCACTGTTTTTCTAGACTTTTGGAAATGGACGCAAGCAGTGGTCCAGGCATCATTGGTTTTGGTATAAAATGCCTCCAAGAAAAGAAATACAAGGAGGCTGTTCAGAGTCTTACTGAAGGTAAATGTAAATATGAGGTATAAGTACTCTATAACTTGAACACCAGCTAGTTTATGCTGGATATTTTGGGAATCTTATACTTGCATAGCACTTTGCCAGTTCTAAGACCAGCTAGATTTTAAAAGAATACTCAACACTTTCTCTGAATTTTTTTTAAATATAGCTTTAAGTATAACATCTCTGAAGTCTGTCGTTGCTGTTACAGTCAGCTCTGTAGTATTTTAGTGTGATAAACTTTAAGCTTCTTTTATTCTGACTGTTACTGGGGAAATACCTAGATGAAGCAGTAAATACAGCAGTAGCAATTAATGAAAGAATGTGGAATTCATGAAGTAAAATGCAACACAGCTCCTTTAATCTAGTCACTGCATTTCTATACCTGAACAAAAATGACTTCCCTTTAAAGTTACATCATTTTAAGACCTCTTTAACACTTACATTGGGTAAACACTTATATTGGGTATCTAAAGAGAAATATCGGAGGATTTTTTTTTTTACAGTAGTCAGAATTGCTGAAGAGCTGGCTTACTAAACTGTAATTATCTTGTTTGTATTGAAATGGCAAAACTCTTTGAAAATTATTCATAAGTATACTAGGTGGAAATTAGGACTCTCCACTTCCACTGCCCTGGCCATGAATAATTCAAAACTGCTTATTGAGAAAGCTAGGTAAATAAGCACTTGGGATCTAAGCAATCAGGATTCAGTCAGGCTATGCTGTGATATGCTGCATCCTTTCACCCAGGTTTAGAAAAAGATTGTTTCTGAAATTAGATTTTGGAATATTCTACAATATTCTACAGTAGCTTACCCACAGTGAAATAACATGTCTTGCCTAAAATCTGAAATAAAAATTTCAGGTGCTTAAGAGGGAAAAAGTCTTCCATGGAAAGCAAATTCTTTTGGCTTAAATGGCCACTGGATGTTTTGACAAAACATACATCCTGTTTTTGGCAAAAGATACATCTCCCAAATAATTTTATTTATTTGTTTTTACTTTTACATGTAATACTCTGCTCGTGAAGGGGAGAATGCAAAGTGCAAGGCTTTTGATATCGGCAGAAATGTATAAAGCTTGGAAATAATGTCCTTTCTAGTGAGCCAAGTGTTTGCGTTTTAGGCATTGAAGTTTCAAGGCATTATTCAGTAGTATCTCCAAAGACTCAAATTCAGTTTTATTATTGAATCTTTAATTAAGGCAAGTTTATCAGGAGGTTTCAGTGAAACACTCTTGCCATCATTTTTTTGCTGGCTTGAAGTTCTATGGGCCTGTTCAGTTTCTAACAAAAACTTTGTAAAGCGGTCTACAGGCTGCTGATGTTAATGTCTGATCAAAGTGAAGGACTTTTTTCTTTTTCAAACAAAAGTGCACCTTAAGCCAGTGTTGTATATTTTGTCGCTTTTTCCCCATTTTCTTTTCTGTATATGTAATGTTATATACAAAATTAGCCCAGCAGAAGCTTACATGCTTCGTAGTCTTTGCCTTACTGCATGGAGGCCTATATGTCTAAAACAGTTTAAAATAAGACTCCAAGAAAAAATTAACTGCAGGTCTCATTATCTGATAATATGTTTTTGGTGGCGCTATAGGGCAATATAGCATCTGCCAGCTACAGTGTCTTTGCAGCCCAAAGCAACTTTTTTAAAACTCTTCTTTTATTAGGTTTGCAGAAGACTAGCCATTGTCCAGCAGCATGGCATTATTTGGCAGAGGCACAGATGAAAATTCACAAACACAGGGATGCTGTCCTGTCCTGCAATGAAGGTAACTGCCCACTAATTGAAAGAGCAACTGGAGGGGTACGCTACTTTATGTAGTCCGGCCAATGTGGGCTTTGCATGGTAGGTCTGAGTTAGCAGCAGTCATAGTCCTTTGCTTTTTGCAGTCTCACAGCTTGTGCTGGTGTCCCCTGCTTCTCTTGGTTTGTCACAGCTGAAAAACACCTTGTGCTGGTTGGTCTCAGGAAAAGAGAAAATACTTTGCTAATTAGAACCAGAAAGCTGTCTGATGGTTAATATTTAGAAGGTTTGCATGCTCTGATGTCCTTCTTCAGCTGGTGGTTGACCAACTCCGCCAAACAGCAGCTAATTGCCTGAAACCACAAGGGTAGCTGTCATAAATTTTTAGTCTGGTAGACTTCATATTTAGACTTAAGATAAGATTTTAATCAAGTTAATGTAAAAGGCAGGAATGTGCCATAGTATAACTGCATCTTAATAAACCTCACTGAGTGTAAATCTTCATCCGTGCTAGCTGGTAATGAGGGATTTGTTATGATCTAGTGATGCATGTCTAATCTGAATAGAGCTATTGTCTGATGGTTATAAATGAAGGGACAGCCAAAGTGGACTTTTTCCTGACAGGGACAAATGCAATGAAAAACTTCTCAAGAAAGACTTGAAGAAGTAAAAGTATGCAGACCTGGCTAAACAGTCATGGGAAATTATTAACAGCAAGGGGAAGTACTTGCCAGTGAGGGAGATTCAAAAGGCCTACAGAAATGTGAAAACAGAACAAAGTAGGTAAAAAGAAATTTATTGCAGAAAGAATGACAATGAGGTGATTCTTTCCCCATCTGTGTTCAGTGTGGTAGAGCTCAGGGTGACTTCTACACCATGACCCTTTTCAGGAGATTCATCAAACAATTTGTCTGTGATTATAGCCTTAATAGAAGTTACTATAAAACAAGACAAGAAAAATTAGCATTAAGGAACTATGAGGTATCGACTTAGGAATTGACTGAGGAACATAAAGATGAAATTGCAGAAGTACTAAGGCGTTTATGTAATTGCTTGCTTAAACTATCTTGGCACCCTAATACTTGGAGGTAGATAGCGTGACCCTAACTTATAAAAAGGGTTCTAGGAAACATCAGGGAAGCCACCAACAAGTCTGATATGTTTAGTGGTTGAATTAGTTAAAACTGAAAGAACAGGGTTAGGGAATTTATGTAGACAGATGTATTCTGGGGGATAGACAGCATGGCTTTTGTAAAGTAAAGCTGATTTTTAGAACTCCTTGAGGCAGTTTACGAGCACATAGATAAGGGAGAGGTGATATAGCCTTCTCTGATTTCTAGGTGGTAATTGATAAGATGTCTTACAAGGCTGTTAAGGAAACTAAGCAGCCTTGGCATAAGAAGTAGAGTTGTAGCATTGAGTGTTTTTTGTCGGTTTTAAATAAGTTAAAAGCTAGAACACAGTATAGTAATTATGTCTGTTTTCAGCTGGAAGGAGATGTCCCTGACATTTTCACCAATACCTGTGTTGTTCATTCTCTTTTCTAGTCCTTTATGAATGTTGAGTAATGAGGTGATAAAGTTCGCTGCTATTCAAAGCAGACTGCGGAACTCTGAAAGATTACCAGAGTGGGTAACTAGGTGTTAAAATAATGCATAAAGTTCTATAGTCTTAAATGCAAAATCATGAGTTGTGGGAAGAAATGTTCCCACAAAGCTATCCTACAGTCTTTTTGAAGTAGAGAGCAGAAAGTTCCTCATTTTGCATGAAAAAATAGGACTGTGTCTTTCCCCTTCTGTGCTTTAAAGGCAAGTCATATATTAGGAATTACAGGAAAGGGAATGGTTAGTGAAACACAGCACCAACATTCAGTTGCTTTAAGAACTTTAGCAGCATGGTGAAATTTGCGTGCACTTTTGGTACTCATCCACCATATCTCAAAAAGAAAATAATAGTAGAAGTTAACAGACTAGTAATAAGGTTGACCAAATGTATGGAAAATGCAGCATGTGAGAACAAGTAAATAGCCTGTAAAGTCCTTTTCCAGCCTGGAGACGAGGTGATTTTGAAATCTGTGAAATTGCAAGTGATGTGGAAAATAAGTAAAGATCAAGTGTTTTGTTTTCCTATGCGAGGTCTAGTTAGTACCAAATGAAACTAAAAGCTGGCAGGCTCAGAAGAAACAAAATAAGTTTTGTTTCTCAGTGCAAAGTGTAAGTTTCCCTGAGTCCAAAGAATGTGTGGAAAGTGGGAGAGAATTCTGGGGAAGCATTGCTTTATGCTTGGCCTGTCTTACTGGCTGTATCAAGTCATACAAAAGTTAATCATCTGTGAAAATAAATATAGTTAATTGAGTTGTTCAGAAAGTTCTTGCCTTTGGAGAATGCTGAAGCTCAACAGAGATGCCCCCATTCTCTGAGGTGAGATTATACTGTGTACTGGAGAAGTAATCAATACTGCATAGAAAGGTACAAAGTTACCTTTGCACAGACACAGAGTTAAATCCCTGGTTTCAGTAATATTTTTTTCTTCAAACACTGAAGTGTAAAACAACTTGTTTACTGAAAGGTCATCGCTCGTCAGAATGTAGAGTTACCATTTATAATGATAAGGCCAGCAGCTGCAAAGCAATCAATCTCTCCACATGTCTGAGAGGACCTTTCTAAAATTGATTTAACTTTTAAACTTGAATGGATAGAAATTTTACAGCACAATTTCTTCAACATGGGGGAGAACAGTCAAAAAATTGTTTTTTAGGTGGTGCTCTAGTAGACTGAAAAATTGTAATTAACAAGATTTAAACCATATTGGGAACAGTGGTGCTCTTTATAGTTCCTTTTTCTATTTTTACGTGATGAAACTTTTTTCTTCTCAACAGCTCTCGAGGTTCTTGGAACTCCTGAGGATCCTACTCTTCGGTGGAAGAACCTTATCCTTCAGTTGAAAGCAGAGTCTTTGATTAAAATAGCCAATACTGATGCTGCAGAAGAAGCCATTAAAGCACTTGAGCAGGTATTTTCATTGACTAAAATGTGTATTTTTTTGAATTTTAAAAAGTGCTCTCATCTTTTTGTACTAAAAACTCAAGCTGTGTATTTCTTCCCTTGCCTCCTCTTTACATTCTGTGTGGTTTAGACAAATCCTATCAACTATGGTGTAATCCAAACACTCCTTCCTTCTCTGTCTTTTTTAGGCTTTACTACAACTCTTTTTCACTCGTAATTCTAATTTTAGAAGCTGTTGCTTTTGACCTTGTCTGGTCTTGCTCAGTGCTGCTGGGTTCTTGCTAGTTCTATGTCTGCTGTTCATCTTAATTTAAATTATTGTTATAATCCTACTCCCCATGTCCTTCATTCGCTTGTCATTAGTCATGAACAAGACCATATTACTTGAAGATTGAATGGTTAAGCTTTAAGCAAAAGTTGCTTCCCCTCTTTTTTGCCTCTCAGTTTCATGTACACTACTTCGATGTTTAGACTTCTGTACCTTTGTCCTTGCTCTGTACCATCTTCTACCGGTTCTCCATAAAAATTAATCTGTCTAAGGCTTCTCAGGAGTATTTTGTCTAAATGTTTTTTTGTCTTTATCTTCATGCAGTCTGCGTGCTTTTGACAACTGTGATTTCTTAATCTGGGGAGAGAATAACTTGGTCATGTCTATTACTTGGTTTCCTAGATTGTGGATGCAAGCAGTGATCCTGTGGTTTTAGCTCTCAGAGGTCAGGCTTATCTAAACAAAGGTTTAATGGATCAAGCTTCCAAGGTTAGTGCTGTATTCTCATTCCTGTAAGCTAAGTAGAATTCTTGGTTTCATAGCGGAAATAACTAGGGAATGATGACATCCTTTTGCAGATTTCACAAGAGCTTCTGTTGTCCCACCCTGATCTGGCCGAGTCCCATGCTCTAGAGGGTTTCATCCATTATTCCCAAAAGAACTACGAACAGGCAGAAAGAAGGTAGATTTTTTTTTTTCTTTTCCTCTAACAGGGAAATGTGGGGGAGAATAGAACATAGTGTTTTGCAGCTTTTCAGAGTTTGTCTGATCTGACCTCTGTTCCTTTTATTTAGTTTTCTAAATGCTATTGAAAGAAAGGCAGAAACTGCAGAGTATCATCAGTACCTGGGGCTCACATACTGGTTCATGAGTGATGAGACAAAAAAAGACAAAGGAAAAGCACTCACTGAGTTCTTGAAGGTAATGCTTTAACTAATCATGTAGAATTAGTGTTTTCCTGTATCAGAAACCAAATCTGGAAAAATACGCTGACTGGAATGACAGACTTGAATATTCCCCTTGTTACCATTTACAAGCCTACAGAGCCTGTAAACCAAGTTCAGCTGTTCAAAAAAGCATTGCAGTGAGCTGTGCAGTTACCTGGAATCTCCCTGCTTTAGTTATCCTCTTTTCCCCTAATTCTTGAGGCCTCTGGTTGAGCCAAACATAGTGGTGATTCTCTCAGTCTTCTCTCCTTGAGGGCTTTAAAGTTGAGGCCTCTAGATGACCACCTGTGCATAGATCTTCAAAGACATTTTGAAACAGGGAGGGCAAAATTCAAATTGGGAAAAAAGTGAGGAAGGAAAAAAGATGAGAATGGTGTTAGAGTTTCAGTGTCTGTCCAAGGAAGTAAGTCTGCAAAACCCCACAATTTATATGCTTTTCCTGATCTTTGGATTTTTAGTGGTTGTGGCTTTTTCTCTGAATGTAGGTAAGAATGTGAATCTAAAAGATTTAGTCTGACATCTTTATTGGGAACATGGAAGTATGCAAAGTAAGACTCTAGACCTTGTAAACTCACCATATAACTTCATGACAGGTGTTTCCAACTCAAATCATTGCCTGCTGTTTGCACTTCAATAACAGCAGAGTGTACTGGAGAATGTAGTTGAAGTAAACAATACTTTTGGTTCTAAACTGTTTTATGTGAGCTTTTTTTTTTATTATTGTCAAAGCTGTTTTCTGCTCCTTGGGGGCTGTGGGTTTTTAAGTATAAACAAATCTGCCAAGTGTATCTAAAAAGGAACTTAAACTTTAGAAAAGGCTGGAGTTAATTGTGATGTAATATGGTAAGAGTATGAGCGTAATGGTTGAAACCGAGTAGAATGTGAAAATTGTGGGATGTAGTAAGAAGTTGTTTTCTCCTAGCACAACTAGCTTGTTAGTACTTCATGTACAAAATGCTTTGTGTCACGAGGTTTGTAGCAAATTCTGCAAATATTTATAGCTCAAGTAATATCTGAAATGTTGAAGTTTGACTACTCAGATATGTCACAGAAGGAGCTTAAATAAGTTGATAAGCAGAGATTGAACAAGTAGTTATCACTGGACCAGTTATATCATCAGTATAATCCTTCAAAATGCTGTCTTATATTGTGTTCATATTTCCTTATAGGCTGCAAAATTGGACAGCTACTTGGGAAGTGTCTTTTGTTATTTAGGTAACTACTACAGAGACATTGCTGGAGACAAAAGTAGAGCTCGTGGTTGCTATAAAAAGGCTTTTGAACTGGATGGAACTGATGAAGAATCTGGAACAGCAGCTGTAGGCTTAAGCGTGGAACTTGGAGACATGGTATTGTTTATTCAGGGTTTTGGATTACTGCTGTTTTGTTTTTCTCTTAATCCTGCTCTTTGAGGAATCACTTCAGGTTTCCTCTGTATTTGATAATAAGATCTGGAAACAGATGTTCTGTCGTTGCTTAGCAGTTTTCATAGTTGGACCTGCTTCAATTTCATGCTTCAGTGCCAAACTAAATCTGTCTGGGGAGAAGGGTAGGGGAACCAAGCATGACATTGTAGTCATCACATGTGTGATGTAGATGAATGATTTTTTCAGTAGGGAACATGAAGAGAAAGCTATTTTTCTTTCCATATTTAACTTGTGCCACTTCTTTTCTCCATCGTCCACCTTGCTTCTTTCAGGAAAAGCATACAAAGTCATTGGAACATTTTAAAAAGTATTTTCTATGTAGCATTGTATAAAAAGTTCTCAGCCTATGATATTACAGAGCAAGTGTAACCCATACTTGGACAGCCTCCATTGGAACATCTGGAAAGTCAGTCTAAGTGTCTGACTTGCTGCAAATACTAGTATCCTTCTTTAGTTTAAATAAATAAATAAATAAATAATAGTCTCTAGAAAACTGCAGGAGGCTACTGTCTATCTGCAAAGACAGGTGCATAAGAAATAATCACGTCTTTAGATGTGATAATTTCCTCCTCTAATCTGCCACTCAGCCTGCCAGCTTTAAAAAGTCCCTGTAACATTTCTTCATTACAGTAATTAACAGATTAGACAGTATAATGGTTTGCTGGATTAGGAGTATTCTTCTTCAACAAGAACTTCGTTCTTTACACATATATGTTTACTAACCTGGCATTTTTGGTGCTTTGTTAGGACACTGCTCTGTCAATCCTGAATGAGGTAACTGAAAAAGCGAGTACTGGTACAGCAAAATGGGCCTGGCTTCATCGTGGGCTTTACTACCTGAGAACTGGTCAGCCGTCACAAGCAGTGGCTGAGTAAGAGAACTAGTGGTTGGTTTAAGCAATTTTCTATAAATCCCAACAAAACAGTCTTTGATCTTAGCAAGTTTTGAAAATAAGTTAGCTGATTATAGGATAGCTTGTACTAAACAATGGGAAATGGGTCTGAGCAAGCCATGTCTCTCTTCAGTTCCAGAATTAGTACAATGTAGTCTTTTCAGCATAGCAGTGTTCTGTACTGACAAGCCTGGTGACAGGCTTGTCATAGACAAGCACAGTATAGCACTGAATAATGAGCCAAGATTAGGTACAATGTCTGAACTTGTATAACGTGCTCTGAGGATGAAAACACTACTATGCTGTGTTTAAAAGTTCTGTATAATTAATTGTGTGTTTGTGTCCTGAGAATATATAATGCAAAGAAATAATTTGGTAGCTTGCATCACCTTTTATTTAAATAAATTTATATCTTGATATCTTCAGTTTGCAGGCAGCTCTCAGGGCTGATCCGAAGGATTCCAACTGCTGGGAGTCTCTAGGGGAGGCTTACTTGAGCAGGGGTAGTTATTCAACAGCTCTGAAATCCTTCAGGAAAGCAACTGAGCTGAACCCAGAGCTCGTGTACAGCATTTACAGAGCTGCAGCAGTTGAGCAGATTCTAGGCAAATACGAAAATGCTATAGCTACCTATCAACAGATCTTAAAGAAGACAGAAGACTATGTGCCTGCACTAAAAGGTGATATGTCTGAATTTGAAAGTGTTAACTCTTTCTCCCTCTACACACTGTAGTGCTTCAGTCTTGTGGAGAGTGTCTTGGTGTATTGAGGTTTTCCTGCATGGAAGGATAGATGTGGATTTTGGGTATGTAGAGCACTGTGATTGCCTGCATGTAAGCTAGTGTGTAGTGGCCTGCCAATATCTGAAGAGCCCTTAAATCATGATGCATGGGAGTGATTATTTCTTTTTCAAGTAAGTATGAAAGTTATATCTGCGTAGCTACCAGGGCAAATGGGTAGACAAATTGAAGATAGGTAGAGGAAGCCAGCTAACAGTGCTGCAGTTTCACCTAAGCAGTCAAACACTGGCTCAACAGGCAATGGAGTCAGGCTGCCATTTCAAAGACATGGGCTATACTAACTTTCTGCTGCTCCTGACCATACGTTCCTCACTTTTTGTGTTAGCCCTGGTAATTCAGACCCCTGTGAGCTTCTTTGAGTGATGAAAAATAGCAGTAAGGTATCCCGAGAGGTCTACAGGTGTTAGAGGTGGCAATAGGTCTTCAGTATATCGCTGGGAGCAGAGAGAAATGGGGCAACTGGAACTCCTTTCTGGTGATAGGACTCTGATTCTCAAGATATATAGTATTGCGAGCGTGTAACGTTTTGATGGCCAATGAGTAACTGTTTGGTTCACATTCTCCTTGCCACTTAATTTTCAGTCATTCTCACCCCATATATCCATCTGAAATAGATGCTGTTTGCTGCTTGGTACCAGTATGAATTTTTACGTTACAGAGCGTTCTTTTGTTTTGTGTAAGGCCTTTTGATTTTTGAGTGAATGTAAGCTGATTCTTATAAGACTAAGTCTTACAAGTGTTGGTTTACTATTGCAACAGTACGCTTTTCATCTGAAAGGGCGACAGAGAGGTTGTCCCTTTACCTCCTCTTATATAATTTTGTCACTTGGAATTTGCCAGACTAAAGTGACATGGCAAAAGCTCCATGATGGAGTTGGAGAGTATTGCAGATAGGCAGTTTTACTAGTTGTCAGGCAAGAAGGCAACGGCTGACTGCAGCAGCAGTTTGCAAAGGTGTTGTATAGAAGTATGCATGTGTGTTATGGCTTTTTTAGTGTCTGTAGGTGACAGTTCAGTGTTACCTGGAATAAAATGCTTAGTGGGGACATGGTATCAAGGTTCCCCCCGCTCCTCAGTTGCCTGTGTACTTATTCTGTCCTTAAATCTCCTAACTCTTCTCTCATAATCCTTCTCATCTTAATCTCTGATTTGTTAGCTCCAGATCCTACTTTGAGTCCCAAAACAGTCTTCACCTTCTTAGAGACTGTTTAATGTTTAGTCAGGTTTGCTATCTTTTTTGGGCCGCCTTAAAATGCTCTGAAACATACATCAGTATACTTTTGTTAGTGTTCTGATCTGTTTAGACAGTTTCTGAATTGAGTTGTTGGAAGCATAGTCCCTGGTAGGTGAGAGAAAACTAAACTGATGTTACTTGAATGCATCTTTTCAATGTATTTTATTTTTGTGTTATTAAATGGTACGGTTATTCTGCCTCTGCTCCAGCATATCTTTTAATGTATAACTTTGAGGAATAAATTAAATTTTGTTTTTAGATTGCAGAGCTTCTTGACATCTGAGAAGCTCATGATCTTGGGACTTCTGTATGGTCAAGACAAACACCTAGTGAGGGCAAGATAAAGATGCTTGCAAAACATGACTACCATAATTAGTAGTTTGGTATTGGTACAGGATACGATAGCATGAAGAGGGTAGCTTCAGAACTGTGAACATAATGCTGAGAATGAATGGTACTCATAGCCAGTAACTTACTGCCAGACAGAATCACTGCCGGTGCCAGCAAGAGTATAACCCAAGCAGTTTTCTTGTTGATTCTAAAATGCTAGAAATTATGGCATTAGATACAGTTCCTTTTTAACAGTTGGATTTATTTCCATGTGAAGTAAATTCTTACATAAATAGGATTAAATAATGTTGATTTCAAGTCATCTTCTTCAAAGATTTCCCTTTCTGCCTACCTTGACATTCTTTCTTCTTTTTGTGTTTTGGCAATGATTTTTGACTCGTGTGAACTGAAAGTTGGTGTACTTGTGAAAGTCTTACCAATGCTGCACAGATTTCTCGTCAGGGCTTTAGTTAATGTTTGAGGACTAACCCAAAGCTTAAATGCTGTGGTTTTTATAATTAATTACGTTTATTTTAATATTCAAATTATTCTACAGTTCACATTTGACAGGATAGGTAAAAAGCAAAGTCTCTGTTGTGACCACTGTGGATCTTTTGATTTTGGCATAGCATGTGCAGGGTTTAAATCTTTATATCAAGCAGAACACTGAGCAGGCTTCCACCATCCCACTCCACCTCCTTTATCAAGCATGTCATAAAAGCATCTCTTTTCATAGAGGATCTTTTCTCTTATTTTCAGGACTTGGTGAGTGCTATCTCATGCTGGCAAGATCAGCCCTTGATAACTATTTTGATAGGAAGGCTGTGGATTACATAGAACAGGCTCTTGAATTTTTTACAAGGTTAGTACTAAATATTCAGTTATTTAATTTCCACTGGGATTGTGAGTTGACAGGCAGAAAAATAAGAGTTAAGTGTCTGAGGATTTTTGGTTAAAATAAATTAAATGGACCAATTGAATAATGCATTCTCAACTTAGGCTGCTTAAATCAATGGTAATTATAGAGTTTTCTTTTTTCTGTTTAAAGATACAGAGTCATTTGATTGTAACACAAGTGTGAAATGACACACGGTTCTCTCCAACTGTCTTCCTGTATATATGGGGCTGGGAGGAGGGGATTTCTACCAAAAATGGTGGATGAGAGGGAATTGTTTCTTCCCTCCCTCAATCTTTTTTTTTGCATTTCATACAAAATGCTTTAGTGTCCTAAATTAAACCTTGGGATAGCTGCTGTTACAGGAGATGGTCCATCAAGTTTCTGCAGATGAGTCGTGTCTTGTAACGTAACATGGTAGTGCTCTCAAATGGAAGAGTGGGTGTAGTCAGTTGACATGTTGATAGCTAATGGCTAATTTTCAGAACTGACTCTTAGTCCCAACAAAGTTGGGATACATTAGCATTTTGTAGCTTCTCTTTTTGGTTATTTTTGACCTTTTAGACCTATGGCTTGAATAGGAAGAAAACTGAATTAAAAAAACCAAATAGCTCGTTGATTAATTACATTTGAGTTTGTGTCGCCCTTCAAAGTGGTGAACTTTCTTTCAGAAAAGGATATTGAAGTGTCTGAATGGATGTTGTGCGGGTTTTCTATATTGTTAATTACAGGGCAACAAAGCACCGTCCTGATGTATCTTGCCTCTGGAAACTGCTTGGAGATACCTGTACTAGCGTGCATGTTATTTCACCACCCAAAGTAAATGTTCAAGTTCTAGGATCCCTTCTGGGTAAAAATGCAGGCAAACAGATACTGAAGAAAAGTGAGCTGCTCAGACTGGGAGGAAGGTAATAATCTTTATTATCAAGAGCTTCTACGCAGCTTGAGACTCTATATGAAGTATTGTGGACTATTTAATTTCTAGAGAATGAAAGACATGCTGATCTGTCAACACCTGCATATTGAGCAAAGATTAATGAGGTGGTAAATAGTGTCTCGTGCTTCTTCCAAATTACGCTGCTCATTTTAGAATATGTTTGCTGAATTGCCATAGTGGCTGTCAACACTTCATCTAGCACCTGCTCTTCTCCTTGTTCCTGTCTTCAGAGCATGGCTACATCCTGCCTGTCATTCAATAAATTGTGCCTCTTTAAATGGAGTGGTTGCAGTAGTTGCTAACTGATTCTCCCAGGAATTTTTAAGCTTTCTGTCTGTACTTCTTTCTTATAAAAATGTCATCAATCCTTGCCCTAGGTATGGGGTCTAGAGTACATTGGAAGAGGGAATTCCTGGTTTCTCACCCTGGAAGCTCATGATGGTAGCAGATATTTGTATTATTTCTGTAGCCTCTGTGACTCCCTCTGAGCTTTGTGCAGCTGGATGTGTAAGGCAGGAAATGCAGCTGCTTAGTATATCTCAACCACGATATGTGAAGTCAGATACTTCCTAGGAGAAGTCTTATTAACTGTAAAAATGACTGATGTTTGTTTTAAGTAAAAGGATGCATATTGCAGCTGACACAGCTTTGATTTAATGCATACCTGTGGCTTCACAAGTGGTGGGTAGATTCTGTGAAGATAACTGAGTGAAAAATCAGTTAGTTGTTGTTTGCTTTCCATTCTTGTCTGGTTTTGTTTGTATTTATGCATGTTTGCTTGGTTTAGGTTTTTAAGCACTCTTTTGAATGTTTTTTCAGCTTTCTGCTCTTCATGTAGAGAGGCTTGGAATAATGCTTCTGTGATTCATGTTTCTGTAGGTGTTACGGCAGAGCTTTAAAATTGATGCCTTTGCCTAGCATATGGTGTGATCTTGGAATAAATTATTATCGACAAGCAGAGCACCTCACAGCAGTGGGCACTGACATGAATGAGATCAGTGAACTGCTAGAGAAGTCTTTACAGGTATTGACTGTTTTTTCTGTTACATTCTTTAAAATTTAAATTGGTGTTGGTGTTTGTCTGCATACTCTCTGTCCTCAATAAAACCTACGTCTCTGAATAAGTAAGTGTGTAAAGTCTTAATTTTTGCTCTTTTAGTGATACAATCCATATTTGTTTTTCTTCCAGTGTCTCAAAAAAGCTGTGAGGCTTGACAGCAAAAATCATCTTTATTGGAATGCACTTGGTGTAGTTGCTTCCTGTAGTGGTAAGTCTTCAGTGAAACCCCTAGCTCCATAATACCCTAAATTAGAAGGCAACTTGGCTAATGGTGTTCATGAAATTCAGTTAGATCTAGCTCTCCTTTTTTCTTTTTTCCCCCCCCAGCTATTGGGAATTATGCTCTTGCTCAACATTCGTTCATCAAATCTGTTCAAGCTGAGCAAATCGTAAGTGCTGTAGGCAGTTGCCATCTGTTTCAAGTGGGCATTTAAAACTTTTTTCCCCTGATGCAGTGTTATTTTTGAATATAGTAATAATACATTGGTTTTTAACTTTATTTGTTCTGTCTAGAATGTTGTTGCCTGGACCAACTTGGGGGTTTTGTATCTGGCAACTGGAAACATTGAGGTAACTCTCTTTCCCATCCTCAAATATAGTTTCCCTTTCCTTTCTTTTTTTTTTTTTTTTTTTTTTGGGGGTGTATGGGGGTGGGAGTGTGGGCAAACAGTGAAGAATGTCCCTCTCCAGATTCAAGAAATGTACTTCCTTTGAATGAAATGCAGTTGGCACCTGTACCACGCAAATGAATTAAATATTTGTTCTGGAGGGGATAAGTGAACTCTTACCATGCCAGACAGTACAATAGCACTGTTATCTTTGCTTCTACAGCAAGCTCATGAAGCCTTCAAGGTAGCCCAGTCTCTGGAGCCTTCTTACTTATTGTGTTGGATTGGGCAGGTAAGATGATGAAAAATCGTAATACTGTGCACCAAAACCAGTTGTTAGTCAAAGAGAGGACTTGGACTCCATCCTAATAATTGGCACTTAAGCGTATTCCTGAAAATTAAATGTTTTAAGTAAAGGGAGCTTCTGCTTCCCCTGAGGGTGGGTAGGACCCTTTGTTTTCATAATGTTAATACAGTGGAAGCTACATTCATCAGATATCTTTATATGTTTTTCTGGCTGATGTTGTGAGTTCTGTAAGAAACTAGTTATTAAAAAAACAATCACTGTTTGTGCTCTGAGGCTTTTTATTGAGCATTGGTAACAAAGCACCATCTTCATAAAGTGCTAGTTATTTCAGCTTCAGCTATACCCCTAGCTCATTATATGGCACTGCTTAAACGTCTTCTCAGCCCCCACCCCCCCAACACCACTGTTAGAAGGATTAAGTCTCTAATGTATATGGGACAACAGCAGTACTTACTTCTTGGGAGGTCCCTTCCTCCCCCTACCACTGAGGGTTGGATGTGCTCCTACTGATATCTAGGCCATCTGTGAATAGTAGAAATACTTGTGACTCATACTTTTATGAGCGCTGTAGGTATACTTCATAATCCCATGCTGCTGACCTGCTAATAATATCTAATTGAAACTGGGTTCTAGGGAAGAACTAGCACCATCGTATGTCAAAATTCAGCTCCTGTCAGGTGTTGTTGTGAGTTGGGCTAACATGCACAAAGTCTTTGTCCTGAAGAATGTAAAGTAGCAGCAGAAGACTTTAAGCTTCAAGTGCTGATACAGTAGAAGCTGCTTGTGCTCGCTTTAATTGTGTTCATCTTATTCCTAAAACCCATGTTTCTTGAAGAGTACGAGGAAAAGAAAGTGTCTTCATGTTAAATGCTTAATATGTGCCTGACGTAACGTGTGCTGAGTTTCTTGTCAATGTTGTAATTTTTAAAGTACCTGACCACAGCAATTCTTGCTTCTCTGTAGGCTCTTATTGCAGAGATGGTAGGCAGCTATGATACTATGGATCTCTTCAGGCACACCACTGAACTCAGTATGCATGTAAGTGTAACAGTTTTATTGTCCTGAGGTTTCTGCGTATCTAATCACTCTATGTAGGTGATGTATTTTTTTAAAAAATAGACATGTCTTGAATGATGAAACAGTTATGGTCATGTTACAGATGAGATTGTCTGACTTGCATGTTGTTGTTCCTGGCCTGTGCTGGCATTGAATAGCAGGCAGTTATTTTATTAAATGCTTTGGTCCCAGTGGTCCAAGAAATCAGCTCCATAAGTCGTGAAAAAACATTCTTGGTGTTCCACAGAATTGGACAGAGACCAAAGGCATAAATTATAACTCTTCCAGCAGAGAGCAAGGATATTGCCAGTACCCTGAGTTCTAGGAAAGTGGAGGACTTTGTATTTCCTTACAGCTTTTTTCATCTGTCATCCCTCCAGTGGTGCAGCAAGTCATATGTTAATGTAAGAATTCCCTTTGCCCAAAGGACAAGTTAAAACTGTGTGTAGAGTAGTTCAGTTTGGTGTTTTCTTCTCCGACTTAACACTGATGCAGATTTTTAGCCAAGACTCTGCCTTAAACCACAGAATTGTTATTACAATCTTTAATTATTTCACTGTTGCTTAGGCAGGTTTAATGACTCCTATTTTTTGTTTGTTTCTTGAGACTGAGGGAGCAAAAGGCTACGCCCACTGGGTATGTTCAACACTGCAAGATAAAAGCAACAGAAACACTGAACTATATCTATACAACATTGTTCAAATGAATGCTATTCCAGCAGCCCAGGTGGTCCTGAGCAAATATACAGGTGGGTAATTTAAATGCCTCACTAACCTGTCTAGCCTAAGAGATGCATTCAGAATGAACAGATAGACCTGTACTAGTTCTGGCAAAGAGTGATCTGGCTCGGTTGGGGAGAGGCTTTTGAACTGTAAAGTAAGTGATTGAAACAGGGTAGGTGGGCCACTGATTTTTAGTATCACACAAAGATGAAAGAGATGTGATTTCTGTCTTCCTACTCATTCCAGCAGATTTTGTGTCAAAGACCAATCAAAATAAGGACCAGAGCCTTGTCATGCTTGTCATCAGGTGTTTGCTATCAGACTTCCTTTGGGTGTCTCTGTATGCGTAGGTGCAGATAGATGCTAGGTCCTCTGCCCCGTGCCGTGGTGTTTGGCAGAAGCCTGTTCATGGATGCTGTGTAACTCCATAACCTCAAGGATATGACTGTGTTACCCTTCAGTAGGAGGTGGACCGTGTTCTCAGGCATGGTTCCAAGCCAGTGTGGCCTCCCTGTCGGGGCAGGCTTGTGTATGTCTAGCCTGGAAGGTAGATAGAGCAGATGTGGATTTTCTTTAATCTGCATCTATTGCTGTAAATAAATCCTTTGATGAGTAATCTGTTGGTGATTTTTGAGAGCTACAAAATAAGGTGCAAGCACTTAAAATGAGATAAATGTGAGAATGTGTTTCTTTGTCTGCGAAATCCCCGTTCTTAAATGGACTGCAGGAGGGGCCTACAGGATCCTTCCTAGTCTGGGAAAAAAAGGTTAGAAGTCTGAGGTGAGATGACAGCTGACAAATCTGTGCTGTAGCTACTAACAGGCATTTCAAAGTTGTAGCATTAAAAATAAACCGTAAGATTCTACTAGTATTTTACTAGAGTCAATACAAGCTGAATATTTTCCTATTTCATTGCAAAAAAAACCCAAATCATTGCAGGCTGAAAAACTTAAAATATATTGAGTGCATTAATGCTGTATCGTAAGGTTTTAAACATTTTTGAGCCAACCTGATGTCACATCGTGTGTCTTAGTATCTCTTCTTTATTTGCCTGCAGCCTGTCAAAATGATTCCAGTGAGCAGCTGACAGAAGCACTTCGCAAAATGTTTTGTGTATATGCATATGCTGTAGCATCAATGTAGCAATGTTTTTGTAATGCTTTCTCACAGCTCTTTCTGATCGTCTTCTCCTGTATTGTCAATTCTGATTTTCTAGAAAGAAATCCAGACGATCCGTCTGCTTTCACAATGCTTGGTTATTTGAATGAGTATCTGCATCTAAAAAGGCAGGCAACAGAGGCCTATGAGAGGTAAACTGTACACCCTGAAACATTTACTGATAGAAGCTCCTTGACCTCTTTTTCTATGCACCAGCTGAAAAACTTAAGGGCTTTTCTTTTCCTTCAGTAAACCTTACTTTCTCAATTCAACAGTCCATTTCAACTAAGTGTGCTGTAAGGGGAGGTGTGGGGATGTTCTTATATCAAATTTGGAAATGCAAAACAGAACTGGAGAAGTAAAGGCATTCCAAGGCTTGAGTGTCTTACCAGGACATTTAGCTAATTCACTGTATGGGATTTAAGTGAAATTTTGGTTAGCTTGGTTTTAGTTTTGGTTTCTACCTCATTCTAATTAATGGAGATGGTTGGGCTTTGTTTTGCTTTTTTCTTCTCTCTTCTTTTCAAATGGTAGGGGGAGGTGGCGAAGGAAACCATGTTTAGTGAACATGTTTGCTTATGCATTAAAACTGTAAAATAAGCTCTGTTTGTGCTTAATTAGCATAGAAAAGCTTCTGCATGAAACATTTGTCCATTCTGCTCTGAGAGCTATTGTTAAAATATGCATGATATAGTCAGATGGTGGTTATTCTTAATTGTGGTTCTTTTCAGGGCAGCTTCATTGCTGAAAAACTCTGAGGATACTGAGAAATATAATACAGCAATGCAAAATTATGGCAGGTTACTGTGGTAAGCGTTTGTTTGTGTATTTTCTCAGCCTCTAACTTCAGCTCTGGATATAGTAAATGCAGTGGCACAAAACATGGGTGAGGGTGAAAGGTGAAAGACGGTTGCTAAAAATAATCTACTAAACATCATTCTCAACTGTAGACAAGTTTGACTGAACTTTGTATGTGCTCCAGAAATAGGTAGTGTATTTAAAAAAAAAAAAAATCAAATTGCAAGGAATTGCTGTATGTCTTCACAGTTTATAACATATCAGTGATTCCCTTATCCTTAGCCTTAAGTGCCTTAACATAGTTTACACAATGTAGCTGTTGCATCGTCTCCAGAATAAATTGGGTTTTTTATGATCTCTACACTTGAGATACGTAGTAGGCTTAGTCTGAATGAAATAGCTTCTTCAGGGTTTACTTGAAATCCCTTCTACCTGCCCTTAGAATTTGTATTGACTTGTACAACCTGAAGCATGTGGGGTTGCAGTGTTGTGTGCATGTATTTAATCTTTCTGCTGATGACCCTTTCTACTGCAATGCTACTCAATTCTGAATTTCTTTCATGGTTCCGTTCTGGTTCTGAGGGAATGCAGGGCACAAGTCTTAACAGATGAAGACTTTCAAACTTCTCTTTGATATGAGATAGCTCAAGCTCTGCTAATTAGATTTTTGTCAGCTCTTTAGGGAAACTTCATATATTCTTAAGTTTCTGTACATGACACGGGAACTTCTAGGCTGTGATAATGTAATAATTCATTCTTTAACTTCAGGGAAGATTTTAGAAGCAACTCTTCAGTGTTCCGTCATCTCAGATCCAAGCTGTATGCCTGGTGATTTCCTGTGTACAACTTACACAAGAGCAAAGCTCCAGTAAATAATAACTAGTTCTAATAAACACAATCCTGTATAATTTCTTCCATAGTGGTCTTAAAACACGAATGCTGCATCTCTGTACATGCACTTGCCTGTCTGTGTGCATACATACTTTGATTTGCCTTTTTCATGTTTTGCCTTTGCTATTATCGCCCACTCTGTTGTGTTGACCATTAAGAGACATCCTTACATATAGCTGTTGTGCAGATGGGGAGAACTTTTTCCTGTCGATTATTCTTCATGCAACAGATAGTTGGAGAGAGTAACTGCTATAACAGAAGGAGGGTGGGGAATATTGCTCATTCTTGTCCTAATCTTGCTCTTTCCCAGATGTCTGCTTACAGCTGATGTGGAATAGAGGATACTGGTCTGCAAAGATGGCTTGTCTGAATCATAGCAACTGTTGCTACATCCTTCATACCAGTGACTGTTTTTGTTTTTACAGTGCCCTTGGTCAGTGTGATAAGGCCATTAAGGTTTACACATCAACACCCCTAACTGAGTTTGATGGCATTGTGGGGATAGCATTAGCCTACTTCAAGAAAGGACTCTTACAAGAAAGTATCAAAGGTAACCATCTGCCTATCAGAGCATTATGGGACACTTCTCTTGAGATGAATCTTAAAAAATGTGTTTGTCTGACCAACCTAGCTGTAGTTCAGTTTATTTCACTCTTTCAGTCCTAATGCATAAGTACGAATTCCACAACTATTTTAATCATGAGGAACATTTCTTCCAAGTGTTTAATTCTTGTCCATTAAGCTCTTGTGCTCTTAGCTTGCCTTGTTCTCAAATGAAATGGCTTTCCTGAAAAAATCAGTTCTGGGTGGGAGATTAGTGTGTTGTTCAAAGCACTTCAACTTTGGTACTAAATGTAAGTGCTGTATTGTCATGTTCTGCACTGCTACGATGTGAAACTTCATGAAAAGGTATATGGAATTGTCCGTGTAGAAGTGTAAGCACTCGCAAAGGAGCAGCCAGCTCAGCATTTTAAATAACTCTTAGTTTTTAATTGGAGTGATGTGTGCCCATCTGAAGTACTATTTAATGAATAAACTATTACAGGGGATTATTTAAACTGTGTTCTTTTAGGCATTTTCTGGATATCCCAATATTTCTTTTCAGTTCTGTTTCCACTTGCTACACATTAAACAGCTCCCAGGCTCTAAGCAGCCCTGTAAATTTGGCGTTCCCCAACATACAGTTACTTCCAAAGTCTTAGTCAACTTTTTTTGTCTTCTGCCTATGATTTGAGGTGTGAAAATATAGTGAACCTGAAACCAAAGTCCCCCTGTGTGTGTGTTCTAATATCATGCCTTTCTAAAGGCTTTACAAATGTATTTTTCTCTCCTACTTCAATTCTGTGTCTTGAATTTTTACCAGCCTATGAAAAAGCCTTGTCTGTTGCTGAGTCTGAACAAGATAAAGCACATATCCTGACTGCCTTGGCAATAATAGAGTATAAACAGAACAAAGTGGATGCTGCAAAGACACTGCTGTTTAAATGGTGAGTGGAGGGAATAATGGTCGGTATACGGTGTTTTATTGTACTGCTGAATCCTCAAATTTACGTTTTGGAGGATCTCAGGTGGATATTTTCTTTTTGTGTTGCAGAGTAAAAGTGGGAGTGAATGCAGTGTTCTTTTAAGCTTATTCATTGATATATCCATTTTGTTTTATGGCCTGTGTCTTATTCCATATTTTTAGAGCAGTATGGAGTGGAAGGGTTAGTGGGCTGGCCAGTTTGGATGTTTTAATATCCTTGAATGGTAGTTTTAATAGGCTTATCTTTTAAGATAATATTAATCTGTAGCTGTCCTAAGCACTAGGCAGTATTTTTGCTCTTCAGCTGTAAGAGACCTATGACTAATGAAAACAATTTCAGTTTAAATAGTCAGTAATGTCCAGAACATTTGTATTCCAAGCATCATAGACAAGGACAATCTTGTAGTTTCCCCATGAAAAGAAACAGATCTGTATCAGTTGTTCACTTAAGGCATGAATGTCTTTTTTTTTCAGACCTGTGGAGGCTAAAAGCCTGTGCATCATTGTTAGTCTCTTGGTAGCTATGGATTAAGAGCTGACATCTCAGCCTCTCAGGATCAACTCTCTGTCAGCAGAGAAGTCCAGTAGTGGCTGTACAGTCTCCATCTTGCCAGCAGACTCATGAAGTTACTGAAATAGCGAAGGTCCATGACCTAGTACCCTCTAAATCCTGAGTAACTGATGATTAACTAGCTAGGGACCTGATATTTTCTCCATCCTGTTAATCACTGCAGGCTCTATTTTTGTCATAAACATCAACAATGAGAATTTTCTATATGACGTTAGTTGTTTGTGTTTATAGAAGAAAAAAATAAGTAGTAAATTGTTTAGGAAAGTAACACTACAGAGAATATGTCTAGAACTGAATTGGAAACACAGTGCTATAAAGGTATATGATGGATTTTAGTAATAACAAAAAAAAACGGTGCTTTCTAGTCCAATAGACAGATGTCTTTATTGACTGGAATTCATGCTAGATGACTCTAGATGACCTAAAGGGCCTGAGTAGGACCTTGAACAAGAAGCTGCCTTTCTTCTTTTCTCATGGCCTCCTTGGCACAGAGCTTTTTAGCAATGAGTATATCTTTGTAGCTAATGTGATAGAGTCCCACTTATTTGTTGAAGGGCAGTGCCTTTGCATCAGGTAACATAGTGCTGGCTATTCATAGATTTATAGAATGATTTGGGTTGGAAGGGACCTTCAAGATCATCTAGCTCCAGCCCCCCTGCCACGGGCAGGGACACCTTCCACTAGACCAGGTTGCTCAAAGCCCCATCCAACCTGGCCGTGAACACTTCCAGGGATGGGGCATCCACAACTTCTCTGGGCAACCTGTTCCAGTGTCTCACCACCCTCATGTATTCCAGTACCTCACCACCCTCATTCAAGTTTATGTTTAACATCTCATAGAAATTTTTCTTGCTAGGGACTGAAAACAAAACATAGAATTGGAAGTTTACATTCTTGTCTTTTTTTGAAGGCAAAAATAATGATTAGAAGCTTGATTAGGAGCCTGTAGTCACCTGATAAGTGAAAGTAAGCAGCACTTCAGTCTGTAGTTACGTTTAGGACATTACAGCGAAGTAGCTCCAAATTACTGTTGCTATGCAGTGTTTTGTTATTTGCCTCCATTCAGTTTGTACTGCCATTTATTGAATTGCCTTTATTGTAAGAACACCTTCAAGTAGTACATGAGTTAAGGTTTTTGATTTTGGTTGTTTGTGCTGAGCTCGCTGTTTGGTTTCACCAGAATTGAAGATCAGGGGATTAACTTAACTTAAGAGCTGTCCCCCTATACTAGAAAATTTGCTGAAAAAAATCAGTAACTGTATCTAGTAAGTCTCCGGTAAAGCTTGGAATACTATTGATCTGAGGTTAAACTTCCTTTCATAATGAAATGAATGGAACAGTGCAACTGATAGTGGTACTAAAACTAATACATGGTGGAAAGCACGCTGAAACTACCTTACGTTGGAACGAATCTTGATGTGAACAAGGCGTAAGTTCAGAACATCCCTGTTCTCAGAAAGAGCATTTCTATGCAGCAGGCTTATTTCTGGCTTTTTCCTTCCTGGATTTCTGTTGCAAAGCTGTAAACAGTAACACTACAACTCAGGTTTGATACTAGTTAGGAGTACAAACGTCTTCAAGAAAAGAAAATAGTTGTCAGTGTTACACGTTGTCTCTTACCATTGATTTTACGGCTGCTGCTGAAGGACAATTAATGTGTCAGTCTTGCCAAGTAGTTACACATTGTAAGCTTGAGTGCTGAAATGGCACATAACCACTGCTGTTTTCCATATCCTGAGATCTCAAGGATACTGATCTAGCTTGGTCCACGATCCCACAGTGAAAGGCTGTTATTTCTGTATACCATACATGATAGGAACAAGAGAACTCAGAAGTAACAAGTATTGTAATGTTAACTGTAAGTTTAATTTATGCTCCAAAA